AGACAATAGAGCGCACGCGCACAGACACGATTTCGTCTGCAGTCCGAATCAGCTCGTCCACGCTCCGTATCTCGATCTGCATGCAACCACTCACACTCGCTGCACGCCGCACGGTGCGTCCATCTTTTCTTGCTTGTTGCCACTTGCTAATCACCCTAAACCTGTCTCACAGACACAGCCTCACCCTTCACAATCTGCTCGACCTTACAACTCACACGCATACGCGATTCTACTTGCAGGGACTGAGCAACGATCAAGGCCTGGTGACGAAGACTACATCAAACAGCCCAAGAACGCATTAATCCTTTATTGACACGAACTCCACTCGCGAAAGAACGAGACAGAGGCTGCTGGTGGTGCAGGGATTGGGATTGTAGAAATAATGTATTATTTACTATCTTTTTGTATTCTATAATCAAATATAATTATATTTTATTAATTATTTAATACAAATTTGTAAGCAAAGCCAAAAACAAGCTATTCAAATGCTTGTAATGACTGGTATAAATTGTAAGAGGATACTATACTGTTAAAATTTGATAAGTATTTTCTAACATTATTATTTCAGGAGGTATGTTATAATCACTTGTATATCTTGACAATATGTACAATCATAATTAATATCAGTAATTTTAATAACTATTCTGTATTCTTGCTTTACTTGTACTAAATTATAATTGACTTGTGAAAACCACTATCTAAGTTATTATCACTTTTACAAAATTTACAAAAAGTAAAAAATATACTAGGTTATAATCTAATACAACTGTTAAGACTTTTTCGTGATGAGTTTCAGCGTCATCTTTGTCTCATGCGTGGATACCTTGTTTGACTCAACCAGTCTGCACAAAAGCAGACAACACTTGATACATTCTTCAAATCCAATGTAAGTATTTGATAATATGTTTTCTTCTGTCTTCCTATAGCTTGATGCTTTGTCTGCAGAGGTAAAGAATAGCTTTAGCAGAGGCCAAGGGTGGTACTTAAAGGTGTAGATATGTAGCGGTGGAAATCAGTCATAATTATTAAGTAATACACGTGGTTGAATATGTCACATTATGTCACAAAACGTGACAACTCGGTACAGAATAAATCTATTAAGGAATAAAATATATGTGAAACCAACGTATTCGTTATGAGATTATTGACTGTATGTACTCTTCCGCTTCGATGAATTCCATTAGGAAACGCCTTGTGAATTGAGAGACGGAATAAATACCCCCTTTTGAGTCCGAGACGAAAAGGCAGAAGGAGCTCGCTTGCTGTCGAACCACGAGTTGTTGGTGCACTCCGACATCCACACAGTACAGTTACCAGTACAGAGTCAGTGTCAGAAAGACAGAAAAAGCGAAGCCAACAAATTGAAACATGCGGCTTCTTCTACCCTTTATGGGTGCAGCGGCACTCGCACAGTCCACCTTCGCTTCTCAGTTTCCTCTCACCAACTCCCTGCCATTCGACGCGTCAGTAAAGCGGACGATGTTGGACTGGAAGAGCGACGATTTCAAGTTCAAGGGTGGTCCGGACGTGTTTACGCCGAAGGACCTCGTTGAGCTGCCTCGGCCTGGTTCGGGTACTGCGAACCCTGGTGGTGATTTAGCGCTCGTGTCGGTGAGCACGTATTCGTTCAAGGATAAGAAGTGAGTATCTGTCTCGTTCATGGTGCATGTCAGAGATGTGTTGCCACTCGGCGCAACTAGTTAGGTATTTAAGGAGATAGCTAACGAGCATATTATTCGATCTCGCAGAAACAACAAATCGATCTGGCTCGCGCCTCTCGAATCTAGCATATCTCCACTCGAGATCCCACTCGCAAACGGCGGAGACGCATTCTGGCTCGATGACCGCACGATCGGGCACGTCGTCGCAGGCGCAGATGGGAAAGGCTCCGAGCTGTTCACGATTTCCGTCAAGTTCGAAACAACCACCTCATCGCCAAATCATCCTGCCACCCTCAGTGCTCCGGAGAGCCCCGCCCTCGTAGGCTCGTTTCCTGCTGGTGTTAGTCCTGCGAACTTCAGATACGTTGGAGCAGCAGAGCGACTCGTGTTCTCCGCGTACGTGTACGCAGACGGGAAGCTCGAAACCGTACAGGAGCAGAATGAAGCGTACGAATCGCGTGGAAACACTGCACTTGTTTATGACGAGACGTTCGAGCGGCATTGGGATACATGGACGGGACCTAAGCGATCGAAGCTGTTCACTGTGAGGCTTGTGAAGGGTACAGACGGGAAGTGGGTGCTTGGAGATGAGTTCGCGGCGCCGTTGAGAGATTTGAAGCACGATGTGCCTGTTGAGCCATTTGGAGGGTTGGATGACTTCTCCGTTTCGAGTACCCATATTGTTTATACGACGAAGGATCCAAAATTACCAGCAGCTTTGCACACCAAGCAGAACGTATGTGCTTTTATTTTACTTCTTTGCACATCCTATTTACTCATGCTAATTCCGTATAGATCTACGTCGTTGATCTACTAGGCAAAGGCGCCCCTCGCGAACTCACCTCAGGCAACCAAGGTGCAACGCATAACCCCGTCTTCAGCCACGACGGTACCAAAGTCGCATGGACCGAACTTGACAAGGACGGCTACGAATCCGACCGTGCCAAGATCGTCATCTTCGACCTTACAAAAGTGGTACGCTACACTCTCTCACAAGCATGGGATCGTTCAGCCGGAGAGCTCGCATTCAGCGCAGACGACAAGGCGTTGATCATAACCGCGGGTGAACATGCTCATGTGAAAATATTTAGACTACAGTTACCTCCAACTCCTGAGGACTCAACGACGAATCCTACGTTCCCAGACGGATACGATCCCATACCAAAAGCTTTAACCCATTCTCACGCTTCCTCTGCGCCTCAACCGCTCCCTCGAGACGGACGTATACTCTTCACACAATCCTCACTTACCTCACCCAACGACGTCTTCATTCTCTCTCCCGACGGATCCTCCATAACGCAAATTACGAAATTCACTGCGAAGCATCTAAAAGGGAAAGACCTTGATCCGGGGGAGAGTTTCTGGTTTGAGGGTGCTGAGGGTAAGAAGGTACAGGGATGGGTACATAAGCCGAAGGGGTGGAAGGAGGGAGTGAAGAAGTCTGTTCCTGTTGTGTTGTTGATTCATGGTGGACCTCAGGGAGCTTGGGAGGATCAGTGGTCGACGAGGTGGAATCCTAACGGTAGGTCCTTAAATTTTTCTAAATAAATTAAACGTTAGGAGGATTGTTGAATGTCCTTCAGTTTTCGCTCAGCAGGGTTACTTTGTCGTCGCTATTAATCCGACTGGTTCAACTACATTTGGGCAAGGTAAGAAATACGTTTTGTTTGTTGCTGCTACTTTATATCTCACAGTTTGATTATCATTATCAATTTCTCATTTTAGCATTCACGGACGCGATCACGAAAGACTGGGGAGGAAAGCCTTTCGTCGACTTACGAAAGGGTTGGCAATTCGTATTGGACAAGTATCCTGAGGTATGCATCTTCAGCTTTTCATAAAAACTAGAGCTGCGGTTACTTATCGCCGTGAATTCATTTAGATCGACGCCGAGCGTGCTGTCGCTGCAGGTGCAAGTTGGGGAGGCTATGCCATCAAGTACGTACTCAGACTCTGAGTTCAAGAACGACGTTCGATGTTGATGCGCTTTTTTTAATTACCCGTAGCTGGATCCAAGGTCATCCTGATTATGGGTTTGGATTCAAGGCACTTGTGTGTCATGATGGCGTGCGTATACTCCAATCGATTATTTTCACGAAATCAGCCTGATGCGTTGTATAATATGTTTTAATTATAGGTATTTGATACGCCCTATAATGGCTTCTCGACAGACGAACTATTCTTCGTACGTGACATCCCCGTTCTGACTACTCAAAACGCCCACCTGATTTTGAATCTCTGTTTAGTTCAATCACGACTTTGGCGGACCACCTTGGGACTCAGAGGCCAAGCCCGTCGTCGATAAGTCAGTATCCCATTACTCAATACTCTACTCCTCTCCCTTTCTTCTGGAGACTGGATGTGATTGCTGCTGACGAGGATTGATTTTTTTAAATTGTTAATGTTAGGTTCAGCCCATCGAACTTCATCCAGAACTGGTCGACACCACAATTGATCATTCATGGATCGAAGGACTTCCGACTGCCAGATACGGAAGGGATAGGGGCGTGGCATGCTTTACAGACGTGCGTTTCTTCTCCCCATCTCCCTCTTTCCCTTTCTTCTCCTCTCCCTTTCTCGGTCTTATACTTACATTGTACATCCGACTGTTGTTAGACGCGGCATCCCAAGTCGACTCGTTATCTTCCCAGACGAGAACCATTGGGTGCTCAACCATGGGAACAGCCTTAAGTGGCATTTCGAGGTGTTCCGTTGGTTTGATAAGTTTGTCGGTGTTAGTGTCGGTGAGAAAAAGAATTGATTTGAGGAATTTGATGGATGGTATTTATTATTCTTTCGAGAGAGAGGCGAGAGTTGAGAGTTGAGAGAGAAAAAAGGTATAAAGGATATAAAGGAAGTGAAGAGTTAAAAAATAATGCAGTGTAGAAAAATGTTGTATACTTTTTTCGTATTATTGAATTGTGAAGACAAAAAAACAAAGTGATGATGTTAGCTTGGACCAAGTTTGACAAGGATGACCCGTGTAAGGATCGTTGCCTTGGATCTTACAAACATGGTACACAACACACACATACAAGTCTGAGACTTGTTTAGCTAGAGAGCTTGCATTTGGCATAAATGTCAAGTTGCTGATCATTACAGTAGGTGAACATACACATGTGAAGACATGCAGACTCATTTACCTCTGATGCCTGGGAGCTTGACAATGAATCCCAAATTTCCAGAGAGGTTCAACCTGATTCCTAAAGCTTATACATGTTGAAATGCTACAACTATGCCTTAAACATTCCTTGGTTGCCTGAGGTTAGTTTGTAATATACACTTTTCCCAGGTAAGTGTACAATACAATTCTGCTGGAATTAGAATGAATTAAAGTGTCCTGGAAGTAAGGTGAAAGTTCATGTATACTCTGCTTGGTGTGTAGAGCTTCTAGTCAACAAGGCATCTGTCAGCAACAGTATAGAGGGGACCCAAAGGCTTAGCAAGGGGACCCAGGCTACAACTATCCTACACAACAGAAATACAGAATGCAAGCACCAGAACATAGTCAGAACTTGCAGAACAGGCAGGAAGAGAGAGTGAGACAAGTATAGTATTATGAGATAATTAGTTCATCAATGGACAAACCACAAGACAATGACTTCATAATGTCTCAGTTAGAATACATACAATATAAGGATGAGAGACACTGAGCAGTCAATCATCACCTCACCCCTTGCCTATGTGTGCCCCCCTTAAGTTTTCCCTCTTAACAGGTTATGAGCCTTGAGCTCCCTGCATACACACATCCACTGTACACTCTAAACTCTTTACTTGTATACATTTGCACACATTTGCATCATGGTTCCCCCATGTACAGATATACACTGTAAACCAGCTGATGTACCCAAATACTTTAGTCAAAACATTACAATGCTTAAGACTGAAGCAAACTACAAGATGTAGCACTACTGTATTGTTTCTAGTGTTGCAGCTACATGCTTCAAACACTTACTAAAGGATGAACTGCAGAATGAAGCTGAGAGGGAGATGGCTAAGGCCATTCATGCATGTATAGTTAATAACATTGCCAACACAATATTGGCAAACTATATGCACTTTGATACATTTATCCCTCAGTTAATGAAAGTGCTTGAAGAATGCTTTAACCCTTAGACAGCATGTAAAAAGGCTCTTGACAAATCAGCACTGTTTATTTGTAGAGACCATGTAAAACATTTCAGACATACATTAGACAGACTTGAGGAAGCATATACAACTCTGTCTGCTAACAGTGATCCACTACACAACTCTACATACAAAGCAGCAATATTGCTTGCCACTCCTGAGCAATATACACACATAGTAAATATGATAATACAATCTACTGATGCCCAAAACAAAGGCAAACCAGTCAATGAACATAAGAAAGTTGAACTGAAGCAACTAATCCTTACATTGTAGAATGTCTACAACAATTACTGTGCTAAACAAGTACAAGATTCCAATGATTGGATGAAGAATAATGCACACACTAATACAATGTATAAAGCTAATAAGTGGAGGAAATTCAATCTGCCAAATCTGTTCAATCTGACAAAAGCAAAATGTTTCAATTGTGGAAAAACAGGACATTTCTCTAAGGAATGCTGTAAACCTCCTACTGAAGCTATGAAGCTTGCACACACCAAACATCAAGCTAACATTGTGTATAAAATGAACCAAACTGTGGAAAACACAACAAACACATTTATTATTGAAAACCCAAACGAAAACAATGTTGAATTAAAGGGAGGCAATGTTGAAATGAATGATAATGCCTACACTCTTATTCTGAGCAACCAGGACAAACAATTCGAACAATACACTTCCTGGGTATGTACCAACATATTTACAAATACAATCATAGCTAACAAGAAATCCTATATGTAAACAATGGATTTACTTGATTCTGGTACATCAATACATGCTACTCCTTATCTATTTTGATTAATGAATGTACACAACATAACTCCTACAATTGTAACTATTACAAATAGATCAACAATGACTCTTAATTGAGCTGGATCTATGTGTATCAAAATCCTGAAGAATATACAAGAAAGAAGTGTCATAACATTACAAAACATCTATTACTATCCACAAATGACCTTTTCCCTCATAAGTCAAGCACTACTATGTAGGGAAGGTTATTCTTTTACGTTTACAAACAATAATTGTACTATAACATCACCATGTAACAAATATGTCAGACATATACAATTGAGAAATAACTTGTATATTTTGTACAATAATCATTTGTTAAAAACAATGAATGAACTATCTATTTATGATATACATAAACGCCTCAGACATATAAGTTACAATTATATTAAACAATTATTAAAGACACAACCAAGTGTACTATCAACTAAAATAACAAACTATGAAGAAAAAGAATGTATTGAATGTATAAAAGCAAATATTGAATGTACACTAATACTAAAACTATGTCAATCTCCTCTTGCAAATCAATTTGGAGATCTTATTCATATTGATATCATTAGTCCTATTAAACTGTACACATATAAGAACATACACTACTTATTAACAATTGTAGACAATTCTACTTGTTAGTGCATAATGCTAAAATTACAAACAAAATCCAATGCATATACACAATACATACAATGGACAACCAAAATATTTACACAGCACAGACTTAAAATAAAGCTTTTACAAAGTGATAACAATACTGTATTCCTTAGTAAAGATTTCCAACAATATTTAGATTCACAAGGAACAAAACAAAGATTAACAGTACATTATACTCTGTAACAGAACAGAATAGCAGAACAAACTCATAAAACTATATTTAGAGGTGTAAGAGCATATCTAACATCTACTAAATTACTGTTTACATTATAGGCTGAAGCAGCAATTCATATTACCTATATTCATAATAGAACACTGTGTGCTACTTTAAATTACAATACCCTACATTACAAACGTTATGGAACCCACAGAACAATTGATAATATATACAAATTTGGTCAATATATTATCATTTGCAACAAAAATCCTACAAAAATACAACAGTAAGGTATTATTGCTTGTTGGATAGGATTAGACAATGAAAGTAAAGGCTATAAAACTTGGCACAATAATAAAATCACCATTGAACAAAATATTCAATTTCTCAAAGGTAAACCTCCTCAAATTGAAAGGGAGAAAATAGACAATACAAACAAT